GCCTCTCACATGCAATACCCCAAACAGCCCCCACACACTACCAAATACTCAATGTGACATATCCATCCACACACAATTCCACAAGCAGCCCCCATACACAGCCCACATTCATATGTATCATACACGATACCATAAACTACTAATGAACATATTCAATATAATAGCTCATATACGCACAAATACAACAATACAAAGCAATTACAGTAAAAATAACACAAGCAGAATACGGCAACATAGACGCCTCAATTTAAAAAAATAGGATCGGCACGCTACGGGACATCAGAATCCTATATCGGCACAGTGCTGCTAAAAGGTTGCCTACCCCTGCTCTAAGTCATGGGTCCTCAAACTCCGGCCCCCCAGATGTTGCTGAACTACAACTCCCATGATTCTCTGGCTATCTATGTAATTTAAAGAATCATGGGAGTTGTAGTTCAGAAACATCTGGGGGGCCGGAGTTTGAGGACCGATGCTCTAAGTGAACCTGTAGCGACAAGTTAGATAGAGCAGCAGTTGGCCAGATTACAGTAGAGTCTGACCCAACATGGATACTGCATGGTTTGAGGAACATGACAAAGAGTTCAAAGTGTTGTCTAGGCCTCCGAATTCCCCAGATCTCAATCTGATTGCGCATCTCTGGGATGTGCTGGTACAACAAATCCAATCCATAGAGGCCCCACCTCACAACTTGCAGGATCTGGTGCTTATGTCTTGATTCCAGATACCACAGGACACGTTCAGGTCTTGTGGAGTCCATGCTTCAATGCATCAGAGTTGTTTTTGCAACACAAGGGGACCTACACAATATTAGAAAGGTGGTCTTAATGTTGTGGCAGATCTGTTTGTGTATATATAAATATATAAAATATATTTATATAAAATGCATTTTTTTCCTGCGTGTTTCCTTTGGTTGTATATGAAGAGAACAGCTTGCAAAATCTGCTGTCTGCAACCTTTGCAAGCCCTTTCCATTTTCCTCAGTGCAGAATTTCAGCATGCGCAGTCCTCTGCCTCTCAATGAGTTGTAGGTCTTGGCAGCAGTTGAGGCATTCCTGTATGGGATGGAGAAGACTTACTCGTAAACCTGTATCTACCTGGATGTAGCTGTGGATATATCGCTAAATATGCAACCTAACTATGAATGTAACTTTTTTGTAGATCCTTTAGATTCTTCATTGTGAACATCTCTTGTTTGCAGCAGATTCCTGAAATTTGCAGCTTCTGCACTGAAATCACCTCTCAGCCAACCTGGACCTCCCATTGCTTTCAATGAGAGCGATGTATGTTTCCATTCAGCCACTGCACACATTTGCTCTTGCTGCACCTTGTTCATCAATGAAAGAAAGCAAGTGGCTACATTGTTAAACTGCTTGTCCTTCATTTTATTGATCTATTAATCAATAGAGATCTCAACTCATAAACCACACTTCTTAATTCTAGTGGGAACCAGTGTAATTCCTATTGAGATTGGAGATGTGCAATGTGGTTAAGGTCACTTGGATTTACCAGGATGATTTAATGTTGTCCAGAGTATTCCTATAAATACACCGAACTGGAAACTCTTCGAATCTCCAGTGGTCAGTCAGGACAGAATTTTGCATTGTCTGGCCTCCTCCATGCTGTAATCTAACATCCCAGGTGGAGCTGATAGATGAACCAGACATCACTGGATCTTCCATCAATTAACGACAGCGGAGAATAATCAATAAATCTGTGAGTCCGCAAGACTTCACTTTGGGGAAACTGATTTGTCACGCCGGGATGTAAAGAGCTGAGACTGATCCCCAGACCTCCTGATATCACGACAAGACACACAATAAAGATTAGAAAAAGAAGTCAGTTATTTTATCCACCCAGGAACAAACAATAGTTACAGAAAGGAGAACTTCTCCTGTATGTGTTTAGAAAGTGCTGATGGCTTATTACTCTGTCTTATGTTAAAGAGCTTCGTAATTACACAGCGCTGGGTTAAACGTCTCCCTCGGGCATTTGTGGTCAAGAAGGACAATTGTACACAGCACGAGTAGGCTCTGTTCTCATGGCAACAGTTGTAGTCCTGCTGGGAGTTCAGCATCGCGCTGCACTCCGGGGGACCTGCACGCCCCCCTCGCAACTAGGTGCTGTGTCACTAATTATTGCAGCCAGACGTTTTGCTCATTTATTCTCATAATACCCGCTCGTGTCATCAGTATACAGCGTCTGTACTTTGGACAAAATGCCAAAAAAACTAAATTGTGCAGATCTCTTATAATTCCCAAGGAATAAGTGTTTATTTTGTATTATATATGTAAACATTTCACTATCAGAGCACAGTTATAGGCTCTGCTGATCCATTTTACTGCAAGAAAACTCATACCAAAGGATTTATTGCGGGAAGTGCAGGGTTAAAGGTTTCATGGGTCTGGGTCTTAAAGTTATGATGGGGCTAGATATACACATTTAATGACTGGAAACACTATATCAATAAATAATAAGAATCAAATGGTACCCACTTACCCATCTAGCACTGTCAAATTATTTCTCTCCTTACTTAGTCACGTCCCCTTCCCTTTAATACTCAGCCAGATCTCCTGTCACCCTTCCATCCAATTACAGTCGTATCTGCTGTCTCCTTCCCTCTATTACAACGTTATCTCCGATCCCCCTTTCCTTCTATTACAGCGTTATCTCCCGCCCCCCTTCCTTCTATTACAGCGTTATCTCCCGTCCCTTTCATTCTGTCACAGCCCTATATCCCGCCCCCTTCCTTCTATTACAGCGTTATCTCACGTCCCCCTTACTCTTATTACATCACTAATTACAGGTAGATATATTGCATTACTTACCAAGTAACCAGTGATGCAATCAAACCACCTGTAAACAGTGATTTTAATATATATACCAGTAGTTAGGGATGTAATATATCAATAACTACTGGTGGATATATTACATTAGTGGATCTAAGTAAATATTGCATCACTAATTACTCGCTGTCTTTCTCTCACCACCCCAACCCTGTGCACTCGCTGTCTCACTATCCCCCTACCCTGTGCACTGGCTGTCTCACTATACCCCCACCCTGTGCACTCGCTATCTCACTATCACTCTACTCTGTGCACTCGCTGTCTCACTAACCCCCCACCCTGTGCACTCACTGTCTCACTACCCCCCCACCCTGTGCACTCGCTATCTCACTATACCCCCACCCTGTGCACTCACTGTTTCACTACCCTCCCACCCTGTGCACTCGCTGTCTCACTATCCCCCTACTCTGTGCACTCGCTGTCTCACTATCCCTCTACTCTGTGCACTCGCTGTCTCACTGTCCTCCTACTCTGTGCACTCGCTGTCTAACTATCCCTCTACTCTGTGCACTCGCTGTCTCACTGTCCTCCTACTCTGTGCACTCACTGTCTCACTGTCCTCCTACTCTGTGCACTCGCTGTCTCACTATCCCCCTACCCTGTGCACTGGCTGTCTCACTATCCCTCTACTCTGTGCACTCGCTGTCTCACTAACCCCCCACCCTGTGCACTCGCTGTCTCACTATACCCCCACCCTGTGCACTCACTGTTTCACTACCCTCCCACCCTGTGCACTCGCTGTCTCACTATCCCCCTACTCTGTGCACTCGCTGTCTCACTATCCCTCTACTCTGTGCACTCGCTGTCTCACTGTCCTCCTACTCTGTGCACTCGCTGTCTAACTATCCCTCTACTCTGTGCACTAGCTGTCTCACTGTCCTCCTACTCTGTGCACTCACTGTCTCACTGTCCTCCTACTCTGTGCACTCGCTGTCTCACTATCCCTCTACTCTTTGCAATCGCTGTCTCACTGTCCTCCTACTCTGTGCACTCGCTGTCTCACTATCCCCCTACTCTGAGCACTCACTGTCTCACTAACCCCCACCCTGTGCACTCACTGTCTCACTATTACCTTTACTCTGTGCACTCGCTGTCTCACTATCCCCCTACTCTGTCCACTCGCTGTCTCACTATCCCCCTACTCTGTGCACTTGCTGTCTCACTACCCCCCCCCTGTGCATTCGCTGTCTCACTACCCCCTACTCTGTGCACTCCCTGTCTTACTACCCCCCAACCCTGTGCACTCACTGTCTCACTGTCCCCCCAACCCTGTGCGGAGATATTACATCATTAATTACAAGCAGATGTCAATTTATCCCCTTGTAATTAGTGATGTGATATAGCTACCTGTAATTACTGATATAATGTATCAGCCTGTAATTAGTGATGTGATGTATCCACCTGTAATTAGTGATATGTTACATCCAGAGCTGGATTAGCATAGGGGCTGAGGGAGCTCCAGCACCAGGCCTGGCCAGCTAACAGTGATGTCGGTATTACAATATTACTGCCCTCCACATAGGCTGTTCATCCACACTGAGTCTAAAGATTTTGAAATGCGAAAACTGAATTCAACCATCTCCCTAGACACACTTTCTTTCTTTGCTCTTTATTGATTCTCAGAACCGATGTTACAAATACAGTGCTGGATTAATGGCATCACAGGCTGGAGCTAATGATTACAAACTAATTACAATTCATAAACTGCAAATACTAAGACATTGTAGCAATAAACAAAAACCTACAAAATGTCTCTACCATAACACCACTACCACTGTAACAGGAGCGAGGACAGGGGATAAGGGGGCGTTCACTAGATACAGCGTGGATTTAAAATATGAAAAATAAGATTACCGTCAAAATCCTGCATTTGCAGCAAATCCTCATGTTTTGTTCTGTTGAGAACATGATATTTCAGCCATTTAGCCGGTTTCATTAAATTTTGCAAAACTGAACATATCACATCAACCCTTTGCTACCAGCTATTACAATAATTTAATTAATCAAATTTACCACTGAAACTGTAGACCATGCTATCTTTACGTGAATGGCACTTTACGTGAATGGAGACACAGATGTGACTATCCCTGATCTCTCTGAAGGAGACAATAAGAGGAGGTTAGCTGTGACAGACCATCCAGTCACCCAGAACTTGTACATGTCTCCAAACAGCCACCTTCCCCTAAAAAGAACTACAACCCGTGCTTCCCAGCCCAGCATAGTTTCCAATCCCCCAGGAGTCATCATAGCAAAATTTTGTCGAGGGCACTCTCAGTCCCAGAGTCACCAAAAAGGGCACTACATAAAGGAGTTGGTAAGGCATCGAATGATACCAAGGACTTCAGGGAGCTCCATGTACCAACAGAAAGAGCTATCAGTTTAGGTGACCAGGATTTTCCACCCATCATGGAACTCTGCGCCGGATTTGAAAATGGCCTTGGCCCGAAAACTTAACTTCCAGCTAACTCGGGCTAGGCACCTCCCACCCGCATTTTGGACAGAATTGGCACTCAGAAGGAGAGCTTTCCTGGAATGGCATTGATTTGGGGATGTGGGCACAGGAACCATGCTTTTGTTACAATAATGTTAATAGGTGCCGTGGTGTATGGTCCCAATTAAATCATCTGGTCAGTTACGTACACAGAGGCACCTGATATGTCGCAATTTCATTGTTCTCCTGGGGACCTCTGGTTAAGGACCTAGGTATAAATTCGTGCCATTCACACAATAAAAACAAGTCTCGACTAGTGTTTGTGTGGAACAGCGATATCCGCTATAATCAGTGAGCTATATTCACCGAGGCTAGAAACACACCTAAATAGCTGATTTGGATTATCTGTTGAAGTCACAGCTGGACTAGTTTTTAGCTTGAATTTAGCAATTTGCTTTTCATTCCACTACAGCGTTCGGTCTCGTTTCAGACACTTGTTGATTTAGATTTGTTCAGGGAACGTCTGGACACCTAGAATTATCCCAGATCCCAACAAGCATAGAGAAAGAGCAGTTTAAATAAATAATGGGGTCTATCGAGAATAAATTACTGAGATATATTTTTTGCTTGTTAGTTATTTACAGATACTGCTCAATGATATTGTACAGCGCTACTTTCATGTTTGCACTCTACAAGCTTGCAGTTATTTCACAGTAGGAGAGGTAAAGGGGGGCTGCCCAAAAAGGGGCTGGTCCACCAGTAGAATTGACAGGTCAGCCTGGTGTGAATGCACATTGAATAATGCACATGTACCATGCCTGTTGGGGACAGTTCTCTGGTGTCTCCTAAACACCAGGGAACAAAGTTGGGACAGTGAGACAGAACCCGGAAATCAGGACTGTCCCATCGAAATTGAGATGTTTAGGAGGCGTGCACAATTACTTTTTACCCAGCCAACAGTGTGAGTTGCAGTCCAGTGACTTTGAACATTCAACAGATTGCTCATGCTTAGTACAGGGTTGTCCCCAACATACTGTCTGTCCGGGGGCTGGTGGAGAGCAGATATTTAGATTAATCCACAATCTGTGGATTCAGGGTGAGATTGTGCCATCATAAGTAAAGGCTCACTATTAATACAGGATTGACGTTTATATGTTTCCATGTTTAGATGTAAACAACAAACACATTCATGATAAATTGGCCCCAGAGTGCCACAGGCAGCGACGTCTCTCTGGGAAAAGAATGAAAACTATCCTCGTCTGAGGACTAAACAGGAATTTGTTCTCTGTAAATATTCCATATTATAATATCCACAAATGGCTGCCATGCCCAGAATGCTCACGACGTCTCGTGTATTTTAGTTTTTTTTTTGTAAGATATCAAAATAGATGAAAAGTTGTTGCTAAATTTCAGTGATGTTAAAATACGCAATAGTACTCAATTATCACAGAAACACTCTAAACACTTCCTGAAAAGCTTTGTGTCAAAGTGTTGTTTTATTTATTTTTTCCATTTTATTAAAGTTCTTATTTCAATAGAAATACATGCTGTTACACTCCTCTGGCCGTCAATCAGACAACCGTGTAATTGTGTAAATCACAATGAATTCCATAGGAATATTCTACAATAAATGGATAATGTAGAACCTTGAATGGATACTACAGAGCAATTAATGGCTACTATAGTGCAGTAAATGGCTACTACAGTGCAGTAACGTATCATATACTGAAGCTCATTTAAAAAAATACTCTGTAAAAATATATAACTAGCAAACAAAAAAAAACAGCTTCCAAGGGACGTTAAAATAAAGATAATTACAGTATAAATCAATATACATTTTTGGAGTTAGTCTGTAGTGTCTGAGAGCTGAAGGTAGACACAGGAGAAATGTGTTCTCACATGACGATTCCACAGCTCAGACAAACTGTGGTCAGTGACCACAAAATACATAAATTAGAGTAGGCCAATGGCTGCACCTTCTCTGAATCCCATTTGTTTTCCTTTTATAAGACCGATCCACTGGGTGGCGCACCTCCAAGGTAATTCCAGAGAAATGGCGCTAGTAACGATGTCACATGACTGACGTGAATAGAAGAAAAATGTAAGCTTCTTGAGAGAAATTGTGTCAATAGAGTAAGTTCCTACCCAAACTATTACATATCACGGAATAAATTCTGTCAAAATATAAAACTATTGCTTGTGAATCGACTCTCTTAAAAAAACTGAATAAAAAAAAATGAATTTGTGGGTGGTAAGACTGCTGCGTGCAAAGGGTTAAAGTAGTCATTGAATACACCAATAAATAAGGCTGAAATAACACTCTTTATAAAATTTGTCATGTCTCCCCACAGGGTCATCTGATAGAACAAAGCCATCACAATATGGCTGATGGCAGCGGTGGCCTTTAACCCCTTATAAACACCTACCGAGAATAAGTGCTACTTTATCAAACACGCGTTAAACTGTGTGATGGCATTACTTGTAAACAGGGTTATATGTCAGATTGTTGCCAGTGTCTTAATTACAAAAGACAATATTAATTACTAAACTTCCTTGCACTGATTTGATTGAGATAGCTATAGAACATAAACCTGTACATAACACGTTTCATATCTAATGTCTGCAACACTCCATTTCCTCTCTTTGATCACCACCTCTTATCATTTGCTGTCGAGTACCACCTCACCCAACAACCTCAGCCTAACCCCCCTCAACTCAGGAGGAACCTTAATTCTATTGACCTCCAGCAGCTGTCAACTGATACTGATTCACAACTCCTATCTATCCCTTCCCTCTCCTATCCCTCACTAGCCATCTCCACATTTAACACTACCCTCACCACTGCCTTGAACGCTGCAGCCCTGCTCCAAACATGTACCTCGAGGAGGACACGCCCCCAACAGTGGCATACTAATTCAACACGCTACCTGCAAAGATGTTCCCGTTGTGCTGAATGCTCCTGGAGGAAGTCTTGCACCGTCAGACTTTCTCCATTATAGATTCATATTGTATTCATACAACGCAGCCCCCGCCAAACAGTCATACTTTTCCTCTCTCATTAGTTTATGTTCCCGCAATCCCAGGCGGCTCTTTGACACCTTTAATTTGCTTCTTCACCCTGCTGTGACCACCCCCCAAACTAACCTTGCAGCCGATAACGTTGCATGCGACTTTACGGACAAGATTGTCCCTGCTGATCTTAAACATGCCATTGTAGTGCCCATCCTGAAAAAAAACATCTCTTGACCCTTCCTTCCCCTCTAACTATAGTGCCATATCCCTGCTCCCTTTTTTTTCAAAGCTTCTGGAAAGACTTGTCTGTATTCGTATTTCTCACTTTCTCAATTCCAACCGTCTCCTTGACCCTCTTCAATCTGGCTTCTGCCTCCTCCGCTCTACTGAGACTGCTCTTATCAAAGTTACTAACGACATAATTGCAGCTAACTCCAAAGGCCACTACTCCACACTAATTTTTCTTGGCCTCTCTTTTGCCTTTAAACAGTTGAAATACCTTTTAAAGTCAGATCCACCAGGACACGAGTGACTAGCTGTTTTGCTTTTCAGTTTAAGAATGGTCTGCGATGGTGTGTGTGTATAGTAGAGCAGCTAAATGCACAGACCAGTATTTAGAGTTAACTCACAAAGAGAATATTAGAATAATTTAATCTACACCCCAAAGTCAATGGAGTGATGAAAATTGCACTTATCTCAATGGATAGTAGCTTCCTCCAGGATAATCCCAGAATATATTCCTTTAAAATATAGTTTGAAAACAACCAACAATAAAAAAAAATATTTTTGTTGCTGCAAACCTTTGAAGGTCCCTGAGGAAACATGTAGGACCATACTGAGCAACCATTATTTATATATCTTTTACATCATTGTGCTTTTACACATTGATTTTAATAATAAAACAGTGGTTACTTTATCTTTTCAACTTGCAGTGCTGCTGAAAGGACAGGAGGTGATTTGGATTAGCCCCCCACCTACATCAGGCGATATACCTAAGGCGATATACCATTCTCCATACTACGAGTACAACTTTATTTGCGCATTTTATTTCTTGCTGCACAGTGTTACACTATTGTTGTTTTCTGTTTTCTTTAGAGTCCCTGAGAATTCCAGAACTGCAACCCAAGGGCCAGATATCACAGTCTTCCTGGATGGCTGATTCCTATTGGTTGGAGTAACAGAAAGCAAAGCAGCCATCAGGAATTAACCAATTACACCCAGTTCTGGGCTTTTCACGTTTCATATAGGTTTGTCTAGTGGAATTCTGACAGAACTACCTAATGAGACATCTCCCAGCAACAACAGCCTTAAACAAAATTAAAAAAATATACATAATTCTAACAAATTACTAAAGATAAACTAAAATTTAAATTATCAGAGTTTACAAATTCTATTGACTTGGACTCAGTTCTTTGGATTTAACTTCTAATGAAGCTCACATTGGCTAGGAGACGGTTTGAGGTTTTTCACTGTGTGTTGTAGCATGTTCTTGCATTGTGTTTGTTGTAACTGCACATGAGCGTGATTACTGTGATACTTAAAAGGAGAAAACCCATACAAGGTTATTCACTTAGGATCTAAAATCTGAAAGTCTCCTTAAAATCCTGACCATAGAAACTTAAGTAAATAACCTTGCAGTGTGCAGTGAATAAGCACATCATATAAACTGTAAACGTATGCCATACCACACAATAACAATGGAGTTCACATGCCATGCACTTTTCTCTAATAGTAACGAGTATTTGTAGTATTAAATTTTTTTTTTAAAGATCTCAATGTATTGAATATCCTTCAAATCAATAATTTTATTATAAAATGTGTTGGGTAAATATTATTTAGCAATTTTACCCATAACTTTTATTGCCAGTTTAGAGATTTATGTACTCAACGGTGAGTATTTTGGCTTGTTTGTAAACTGTAAAGTAATATATTGTATGTATCCGGCTTTTCCTGAACTCACAGATTTTTCCACCTCTGTTCAAACAAGAGATCTTTAAATGAATACATCCTCTGTTCGTTGTGAGAAGCCATAATGTTGAATCCTGCAAGATACTGTATGAGACATACACAGAAACGCTATCAATACAAACCATTAACAAGAAATA